GAGGTGGAACCGAGGAAGACACCGCCGTGGGGCTGAGGCCCGGGAGCCGTGGTGCGTTCAGCGCAGGCGGGCGTGATGACGTCAGCCTCTGCGTGGCCAAAACGTCATGCTCGCTCACGCTCAGTGGAAAGGCTGGCTTCTTCACTAAATTTAAACGGGCTTAGCTTTAACCGGACGCTGCTGACTACAAGCTCCTAGAAAATAACTCGGGCAAACATCTCATTTTTGGATTACTTGCCACGTGGAAAACATGCACTTCTTTAAATGACCTTGATTAGAGAAGGCAGATGAAATGGACTTAACTCACACTTTCGGTCATCTGCCTTTACTTGCTAAATCTGGCACCCTAATTCAAGAAAAATGAAAACATCCACACAAAGAATCCTAGGTGAATGTTCATAGCAGCACTGTGCATCATAAGCCCAAAACAGAAGCAATCAAAATGTCTACCACTGATACTGATTTTTTTTTAAGTGTTATATTTATTCAATGGGTTACTACATAGTAATCAAAAGGGATGGACCACTGGTACCTGATGCAACGTGAATGGACCTCAACACCATCATGGCTAGTGAAATAAGCATGACCAAAAGACTGCAGACAGGCACCAGAGGACTTTTTGCAATGACAGGAATGTTCTAAAACTGGATTTGGGTGATGAATCCACTATTTTATAAATTCAGTAAACTTCATTAATTATACACATATAGTGGGTGATTATATACTGTGTAAATTATACCTCAATAAATCTATTTTTATTGAGGCTTCCCTGATGGCTCAGATGGTAAAGAATCCACCTGCAATGAGGCAGACCTGGGTTCCATCCCTGGTTTGGGAAGATCCCCTAGAAGAGGGCATGGCAACCCACTCCAGTATTCTTGCCTGGAGAATCCCCATGGACAGAGGAGCCTGGAGGGCCACAGTCCATGGGCTCCCAAAGAGTGGGAGACGACTAAGCACACGTCCATTTAAAAAAAACTCTCCTGCCACTCTTACACACACCCCCCCAGCATACTTTTATGTGCCAGTCCTATGGAGTCACCTTCATGTTCGCCAGCACACCCTGCTTTTTGCCTCTTTGCTCAGGCTCTGCTGGGCTGCTGGGACCACAGATGCCCCTTCCTCTGCCTTGCCAACTGGATCATCCCCAAGGCCCAGCTCAGATGTCATTTCCTCCTCATTCACTCACGCTGCCTGCTAGTAGGTCACTGACCTCAGCAGTATTTCCAAGTCATTTGGTTTAACTTCTAATTGCACCTCTTTACTGATTTAACCCCCTTGGGTGTATTCAGGACTCCCTCCCTCTTCACACTGAAGCAAGAAGATGGTGTTCACGCTTTTCCCTTTCCAAGTACCTCCCATGAGAACTAACAAAATAGATGCAGGATTGTTTGGATGCTAACTCCCTGGTGAGTCAGATGGTGAACAGTCTGCCTGCAATTCAGGAGATCTGGGTCTGACCCCTGGGTTGGGAAGATCCCCTTTAGAAGGGAATGGCTACCCACTTCAGTGTTCTTGCCTGGAGAAGTCCATGGACAGAGGAGCCTGGCGGCTACAGCCCCCGGGGTCGCAGGGCCTCGGACAGAGTGACTGACACTCTCCCTCTTCACGCTCAGCTCCGCGGGAACCCTGTCTTCGCAGGAGCCTGGCCTAAGTTTGACGTGTCCTGTCAGAAGCACAGTACCCTTTCTGGGAGGGTCTGCTTTATGTTCCCACCACAGTTTATGAAGCCATGTCATCCGTCCCCATGCTGCCCTCTAAGCTCTTGTATAAATTTTGTGTCCTCGAGTGGTTCCAAGGCGTATCTCTGCCAACTAGATAGGAATACCTCCAGGATGAGGACCGTGTCTCGTTCGTTTCCGTGAACCTCTGGCGTAGCTCAGAGCAGGGCAAACCCCAAGAAGAATTTGTTGAATGAATGATCATCCAGCTAAGGGAATCCTAAAAGAATATAATTGATCTGATGGAACCCATCCAATAAGCTGGATATTCATATTATAAAAGCAAAGCCCTTCATCCTGGCGAGTCCCCAGATGTGCCAGCTTTAAAAAGGCGTTCCAGCCCTACCCCCAGGGCCTCCCCGGTGCCTTAGAGAAGGCCTTGCTTATTCTCCTTACTCACCACCCCACCCATCTCCGGATGGCTTCTCTCTCGCTATTCTGTTTACCAGTTCCATCAACTACTTTCATTACCCTTTTATTACTTTCTCTTCTTCTCATACTTGATGTCATTAAAACAAAACAAAACAAAAAAGTGGGCTTTCCTTAGAATCCAGCACTGTTAGTAAGATGGAAGTTTGGTTTTAAATTTTAAATTAAATTAAATTGGTTTTAAATTTTAAATTATTTAAAGTGAAGAATATTTTTACATGCTCAGTAAATATTTATTAGTATTTATTTATAATGTAAATAAATATTTACTGAGCCTGGACCATACAAAACAAACTGTGTACCTATCATTCACCTTCCATTTTCTTTTCTTATTGCCCTTCCAAATTAAAAAGCAACCAGAATTCTTATTTACAGCATTCCCGATCCCAGTCCAGCTTATGAGTTTAGTGAACCAGATGATTTTGGAAGCCTTTCCAGCTCTAATATTTTGTGATTCTAATATACGTTTTTACCTTCTTTCTTAAATCAATAAGTGAATGCAGTCTGCTTTGATCTTATTGGGGGTGTTAATATTTTCAACCCAAAAGGGAACAGGAGTTTGGTTCATTAGACTGTAGAGCCTGGGTTTTTAAGGCGTGTGTCCCAGGCATGGGTAAGCGTGATAAATACAGGTTGGATTGGGTTTGGCAGGATGGCTTACCAGATATAGTTTGATTTCTCTTAGACTCTTTGATGCTTTGGCTATGCATCAATGTCCTCGGGTAAGTCAGGCTGAGGGTCTGTGACTCAGGGTGAGAGGGGACTTGCATAGTATGTGGCATATAATAGAACCCTGATAAGTATTTGTTGGACCCCTGCTTGCCTGCCAAGACCATGTGCTCTAATTTCCCTTTAGACATGCAGATACTCTATTCCCACTTTCCAGGACAGAGGTCCTGCCTCTCTGGGCCCCCATTTGCAGTGAGCAGGGGTGCATCTCCTATTTCATGGGACAACAGAAGTTATTTTAAGGAAGTGGTGTTTCTTAGAAGGTCTTTCTGGTACCCTGTCACTCCTTTTTATTGGTCCCACACATCAAGCCTTTGCCCAGAAGAGCCGTGTCAGAAGTTGAGCCCACGTCCCCTGTGTCAGATCTTCACTCGGGGGAATGAACTCCACTTCCGAACCTGCTGTCCACGCTTTTCCCAAGCGTCTCTCTGTATGATGCTGATTTCTTACTCATATTGCTACTAATTCATGCTCCTGGAGAAGGTAAACCAGATTTTAGGCCTATGCAGGTCTCACAAGGATTTTGTTTTGTGTTTATAACACGCCTTTCAAGGCAACTTCTTCTCCAAAAGTCGTCAGTAGACGGCAGTGGTGCTCTTTGATCGGTTTTGGGTCTGGGGCGTTTCTTCTGTTGTTCTTGTTTTGTTTCTATAATATTTAGAACAGCTGAGGTTTCTGTCCAGCTTTAGATTGTGGGTTCCACAAAATGTATTTCTTTCTACTCAATCAGTCTTTTTGTTCAGGACCTTACCAAAAAGCCTGAGTCCTTTCCGTAGGCTAATAAGTAAGTCTTCAGATTAGTATTCTGTTTAAAATGTTTTAGTTACCACAGTTAGACATGGTTGTGAAAATTCAAAAGACACAGCAATGTAGAAAATAAACTTGAATAAAAGTTTTCCATGTGTTTTCCTATGCAGGTAACAGATACTAGTAACATTACATATATGTGTATAGGGTCATACTAGTCATACTACCCTACAACTTGCTTCTTTACGTCACGGGTTCCTTCATGTCAATACATACGATCTTCATTCTTTCACACTTTCATTGTTTGTAACATTTACATTCTGTTCTGGAACTACAGTCAAGTCTTCTAGGCTTGAAATTCTGAATACTCAATGAAAATAGCATTTACCATATTGTGGTTATGTAAATATTAATCACTGCAGAACAAAACGTGATCAGATCTATAGGGAAGGAAAGAGAATCACAGGTACTTAACCCTTACCATACAGTTGTCAATGTTCAAAGCTGTGTTTTAATTTCATTTTTATTTTCCTTACTTTTACTCAGTTATCACTGGTTTTTATCAGTTTGTTTGAATCTCATGTTTCTTGAAATCTCATTCTTCTGTCCCTTTTGGTCTGTTCAAGTACCTCCCTGGGTAATTGGTAAACATCAGTACATCTGTTATAAGCTTTCTCTGCAGAGTTCAAAGTACCTTCTCCCCACTGATTGCTGCTTAGACTCAAATTCATATTCCCTTGGAATTTTAAAGACATGGTTTAAAAGTGTTTCTAATGGGAAATCTGATGTTAGATTCTTATTCCTTTGAGACTGATGTTTGTTTCCCTATCTGGAAGCTTTTAAGACTTTTCCATTGTTCTTGGGGTTCTGAAATTTCTGCAAGTGTCTGGGTATGGATATCTACATTTACCTGCTTGGTACCTGGTGGACTCTTTCAATCTGATGATTTACGTTATCCCCCAGCTCAGAAAAACTTTCTATTGTGTTTTTGATTCTGTTACTTGCCCGCCTTTTCTTGGTTCTTTCTCAAACTTATATTGAATGAGTGGGTGTTGACCTTCTAGATCTCCTCCAGCCAACATGAACACTTTGCTGAATCCTTCCAGGGATATTTCATGCATGGACTAATACACACATGCATGAGAATTATACATATACACATGCAAGTACATACATACAAGTGCCCCCTTTCCATTTTTAGTTAAATGGTACTGTACCAAAGAAGAAAGAAGAGGCCAAACTTTGTTAGAGAAGGAGGATGCTAGTGATAGCCCTCGCTCAGTTTTTCCTATTCTGTGCTGACAGTTTGAGCTCTGCTTCTAAATACGCACACACACATGAGACTACCCCCAACAAAAGAGAAGCTCCACTCACTCCATTCCATGACGGTTTCTTCTTACAAGCATGTTCTTCAGAGGACTCCTTACTTCTTTCTCCCTAAAAATAAAGACTTATTGAAATGTTGCAACCACACAGAATAATCCCCTTGTGAGGAGTTCCATCCAGTAAATCCCTTTTTCCCCATCTTGTACCCTTCTGGAGCTTCTGCAGGACTGGGTTTGCTGCTCCAGTAGCTGCCCGGGGGGTCCCACCCATGATCCCAACCCTGGAGCTGCCTGTGGAAGCGTTCAATGCAGGTGTCTCTGCTGAAGAATGAAGCACATTGTTGGATGTTCCTTGAATGGTCTGTCTGCTCTCTGCCCACTTCCTCTCCCCCACTGCCATGCCCCATGCTGGATTCCAGTGCCCCGAACTGACCTGGTGAGGGAAAGTACTGAAGACTGGCAAGCATCTCCTCTCAGCTTTCTATCCTTTCTAAATAGATGGCAGAAGTCAGGAATCCAGCTGGGTTGGTGGGGAAAGGGAAAAGGTATGTGTGTTGGAAAGCGTGTGGGGGGTAGGTGGGGTGTCTCAGAGCAGAGAGGTGATCAACAGGGGCTGCTTCCTGCGTGGCTTTGGCTCCCGTGGAACTGTCAAATTTGTGTCTCCCTGATCTTCCTTACTGCTGCGGCCTGTCTGAATTCTGCCCAGCTCATAAAAAATAGCCAAACAGAGCTGAAGAACACAGTAACTGAAATGAAAAGATACACCCGAGGGAACCAACAGTAGATTAGATCATACAAACAAGGGGATTAGTGAACTAGAAGACAGAGTCAATGGAAATCACTTAAGTTGAACGGAAAAAAGAATTTTCAAAAATGAGGATAGTTTAAGAGACCGATAGGACAGCATTAAGAATAATAAAATTCATATAATAGGGGTCTCAGAAGTAGAACAGAGAGAGAGAAAGAAGCAAAAAACTTACTTGAAGTGGCAACAGCTGAAAACTTCCCTAACCTGGGAAAGGAAACAGATAGCCAAGCCCAGGAGGCACAGAGAGTCCTGAGCAAGATCAACGGACAGAGGGCCACACCAAGACACGGCGGGGCTGAGACGACAAAAGTGAGAGATGGAGACTACAAAAGCAGCGAGGGGAACGCAACCCGCTATGAGCAAGGGAACCCCCCAAAGACTGCAGCAGACTTCTCAGCAGAACACCCTGCAGGCCAGAAGGGAGAGGTACACTGTAACTCAAGTGCTGAAAGGCAAAGGTCTGCAACCAAGAATATGCGGTCAAGCTGTCATTTAGATCTGAAGCAGAGATAGAGAGTTTTATGGGCAAGCAACAGGCAGAAGAGTTCAGAACCAATAAACTGGCTCTACAAGAAAGGATCAGAAGTCATATCCTCCACTCTGGGTAGGCCTGTCTCCAAACTAGCAATGTCTGCCTGTCAGTCTTACACACACACACACACACACACACAGAGGTGTGTGTGTGTGTGCACAGAGGCTGTTTCTGATTTATTTATCTGTTTATTAAGTCCATCACAGAGGTGCTTAGGATCTTAGGAGATTCTTGTGGGACAAATGATATTTTAAAATTTTTATGTTTTGAATAAATAATACTCAAAGAATCCACATATAGTACAGCTACTATGGAAAACAGTATGGAGGTTCCTCAAAAAATTAAAAACAGAATTATCATATGATCCAGCAATCTCACTTCTGGGTATATACCCTAAGGAAATGAAAAAAGGATCTTGAAGAGATATTTGCATTCCATGTTTATAGCCGCAGTTATTTACAACAGCCAAGATATGCAAACAACTCAAGTATCCATCAGAGGAAGAATGGACAAAGATGTGATGTACACACACACAAGATCAGTTCAGTCGCTCAGTCGTGTCTGACTCTCTGCGACCCCATGAACCGCAGCACGCCAGGCCTCCCTGTCCATCACCAATGCCTGGAGTTTACCCAAACTTATGTCCATTGAGTCAGTGATGCCATCCAACCATTTCATCCTCTGTCGTCCCCTTCTCCTCCTGCCCTCAATCCCTCCCAGCATCAGGGTCTTTTCCAATGAGTCAGCTCTTCGCATCAGGTGGCCACATCAGTTCAGTTCAGTTCCTCAGTCATGTCTGACTCTTTGTGACGCCATGGACTGAAGCACGCCAGGCTTTCTTGTCTATCACCAATTCTTGGAGCTTACTCAAACTCATGTCCATCGAGTTGGTGATGCCATCCAACCATCTCATCCTCTGTCATCCCCTTCTCCTCCTGACCCCAATCTTTCCCAGCATCAGGGTCTTTTTCAGTGAGTCAGTTCTTCACATCAGGTGGCCTAAGTATTGGAGCTTCAGCTTCAGCATCAGTCCTTC